TTTCAACACGTATTTCTATAACCTTGAACTTAATCAATTTTGTGAGATTTGTACTGCCTTTTTACAGTGTTTATTTTCTTTGTTTTCCTTTTAGTTGTTTTAACTTAAATTTCAAGCTACATTGACACTAAATAATTTAAAAAAAGATTTGTTTGGCAAATTGTTACAATAACCATGACTCCTTTCTTTTGTACTCAGTTGGCTCAGGCCCCATAGATGCACACCGTTTTCTGTTCACAAACCATTAGACTTTTTTTGCAATTGACTGATGGGTCATTCAGGTTCTTACATGTTGCCTTGTTATTCACTTCTCATCTGTTCCTCTTCCTTTCAATCCTCTGCATCTTGAGGCTGTGATATTGTATCTTTAGGACATGAAAGCCATCAAAAAATGTTGTTTTCCCCTCTTTAGGGACTTACAAGCAACAAATCACATTTGGATTTCAATCTCTTCATCATTGTATATTTTACAGGTTGGATCATGTCTCTGGACAACTCCACAGTTTCAGGGATTTGGTATCCTGTGGAGCAGACCTTCCAGTGTTCTGAAACCATTGGCTATCTGTTGGGCATGTTCTTATTTTTCTACCTTCTTTTGGTTATAATTCCAATAATTTTACAGTCATTTACTGTATCATTTGTCAAGATGAGACTCGTTCCATGGACTTTTGCTTCTGCACATTAGTCTTTTTGTTTTATGCCCACTCACATTGGGTTTTTCTAACAGCCTGACATGTTCTGATAGCTTAGAGCTTGGTATCAGATATATTCTCTTTTCACCAGACAGGATTCTTCATATGAGATGGGCATGCCAGTAATTGATGCCTTTGCCACTCTTCTATGTAACAAACTCCCCTCTTCTGGTCCATAGTACTTCACCAAGCAGCTCTGGGTGTGAGTGCCCTCAACTAGGACTGGTCTCATCTCTTTCTGTACATGTACCCTCCTCTTTCTTTTCTCCCATGTTTCACTTTTGTTTTCTTCTTTTTTCTTGACAGGTACCTCTGCCTCCATCTCGGTCACTCTTACTCTGACCTCATACATCTGTCTTTCACTTGGGAGTGTAGTTTCTCCATCTTCATGCTAGAAATTTGTCCAGTTCCTTGCTGGTGTGGTTTTTCTGACAGCATAAAGTTGAATTTTTTTTATCCTGGTCCATCCATCACCTTGGTACTACCAGGCCATCTTATTGTTCCCCATCTTTTGGCACTCTTGGCTTGATTGCTTAACAAATGAGTGTTGGTTTATAACATCATAAGCTGTTATAAACCCTTGATCACTTGCTTCTCTCTCTCTTAAAACCTATTTCATTCTCCTTCTTGCTAGCGATCTGATCTGCTACTGGCCCCAAATCTATTGTTTATTCATTGGATGTCACCCATACATTGTTTCACAGACCTTCTTTGATTTTATTTCTAAATTGTTCATTTCTTCCATCAATCTCATCCATCTATATCCATACTGACTCTGATTGCTTTTTGTGTCCTGTCAAAGTGGTAAGGAATTATTTGGCATGCACAGCTCCATTTCAGAGTTCACACAATTGTTTATGCTTACTAGATAAGCTGTCAGCTCCTATGGATCATCTACTCCTCCCTGGATGGAGATGTTTGCAGGCTGTATCATGTCTCACCACATCAAATCTGCCACATGACACACACTCTGGCCATGTACTTTCAACAACCCTTTGAAAAGATCATCCTGGTTAGAATGTGGACTATGCCCAATACTTTCATCTCCCTCAGGATATCTCATCCCTCCAATCACCATTCTTCAGTTTTCTCACTGTCTTTAACAAGTAAGTGCCTGTCTTATTTTTTACCTGTTTGTAAGGTACTCCCATTCACTTTTCAGAACCCACCCAGTAGCTGGTATTGCCTCACAGGTTAGTTACTTCCCTAAGCCTGCATGGAGTAAGGGGTAACAGAAATGTTAAACCCATCTGCCCTGGCTCCTATAGTGCCCCACTGTTGAGAAGGAGTTTTCTGCAAGATTATTAAGGTGGTATATGTGTGTGTGTGTTAGGAAAAAGCCAACACCAGAGGAATGTCTTCCCCACTTCCCTGGCTTGTGCTTGCTGGCTCTTCAGATTGCACTTTCTTCAGTAAAATACCTTTGCAGTGGTTAGATCAGATTTGGTCAAAACACCTTTTTGGTGTCTCCTTGAAGTGTCTTCCACCCCCCATCCCTCTATTGTTTAGTGAAGCAAAGGAGACCCTTGCTACTACCAGTTTTCAACCACTGGGTGGTCAACTTGCAGAGTTCCTCACTGGTTGTGTGATCCTCCTAGAGAGAATCTGAGTAGCCAGCACAGTACAGTATTATTTAATATGCACATTTCCTGAAGATTTGGCCAGCCAGATGGAGGTAGTATTCTCTTCATGTGAAGGGAAGAGACTTAGTTCCTATATGTAAGGCAAGACAGTTGTACTACGGAACACATACTAAACCATATAGTCTTATCATTGTCCTAACCACACTACACCTTATTTCCAACCAATCTGTTGTTTGTCAATGCTCAGTTGATCATGTGACACATGGGCTCATTTTGCCCTACTTCTTTCATACTTCCCTTTGGGCAAAGAGTATATTCTGCCTGAAATGGATGCAGTTTCCCACAGTTGTTACTCCTCTAATAAGCCCTCACTATAGGGTTGTCACACTCCGTGGGCTTTCCCCTTCAGTTTGTTTCTCCAGAGGGAGCTCATCTAGGTTTTTGCAGTTGCACTGAATGCTACACTGCAGTAGTGTGGGATTCTAGCTAATGTGTGCAGAGAGGTAAGAATATCATTTTGGAAATTATCATCTTCCATACCTGAAAATGTATTTCTGATAGTTACTTATCTCTCTGCACACCTTCCAACTCTTCCTTCCCACTATTGGTGCTTATAATTCTTGCTTCAACTGAGTTTATGTTGAGTGTAAATGCTTATGGGAATTTACTGGGCATAGGGTATGTGTTGCCCTCTTATTGGTAGAGGTCATTTGTCACATGATGATTACATCCTGCACTAAAACAGTTCATGCTATAACACACGTCTTGGGTGGGAGATAGCTCAGGGCTACTTGCATGTACAAAATCTCAAAGGCAGATTTGTGAGGAATAGTTATTGTGTGCAGAGAGTTGATTATTTATTGGAGATGCATTTTCGGACAAGGAAAGTCTTCACTTTTAAGACTCGTTGTTTTAATTTCGTGGTACATGTATCTGCTTCTTACACTTGTGTTACTTCAGGCTTTCATTTTCTTGGCCTACCTTGAATTTGCTTGAGATGCATTCAAATGTTATATTTGGTTCTTTTGTTAACACACCTTTTACATGAGTAACTATTCTGTTTTGACAATTTCTTTGTCTCTTTTCAGACTTGCACGACATAGTGACATATGCATTCACTAGGCATCTTAACTTATGTATACCCATGTGAATAAAAATAGGTATACTTCTCTTCAAGCAGGGTTTGTTTTGGAGATTAAGCTCACTTGCTAATCAGTTAGTGAAGCAAGAGTAAGAGTATTAAAATGAATGAATCAAGAAGGATGACCTAATTGCCTAGTCAAAACCTACTTAGACCAACCTAAGCCACAAATGATCATCTGGTTAAGGATCAAGCTATATCTTCTCCCTCTTCCCTCCCCCCTGCTTTTTCTTCTATGGACCACTCAAATTAAGATATGAGTGATTCAGTTCTCTGAAAACATGTTTACCTAATTTGACTCAGTCTTTGGGGGGATTTATTGTAGATTTCCAGACCATTGTGCTCCCCAACTTCCTTGTAGACAGTGCACAAATTAACCTGAACTGGGGGTATTTGCTTATGCATTTCAGTGGTGTAGTGACTTTAAATCAGGGTAGTGTTAAAACACTCACCATAAAGAAACTTGAGTCCTCTTTTAGACAGAATTTTTATGCTTTTCATGACTGTGTAACTCAGGGTATCTTTGTGAAACCTCCCAAATTTGACTTTAAAGTATTATTATTGAATATATAGGATAGACCATTTCTTACAATCAAGAATTTAGTAGCTTTTATGACTGTCTCTCATTAAAATAGCTATTTCTATTGTGTCAGTACAAGACTGGATTGAAAGGGCATTGGCCACCAAGTACCAAAACATATCCACAGTCACAACTCTTGATTGGTTTTATTCCAGATTCTTTTCAATATAAAAGGTAAAATCAATGAAATAAGTGTACTTGTTCACAGACATTCAGGATGTTAACAGCAAATCTCGTAGTTCAGTCCATGGATGTTGGACACTATACTGTCCCCATATATCTTTGTTAACTATTTTCATATGTACATTCATCTAGCTTCATTAAACACTTCAAATTTAATTTTGGAAATATGCTCGGGTGTCTCCTGTTCAGCTTGTACGTCTTCACCATGATCATAAATAAAGTAATGAAGACCATAGGGTTAAGATGGTAGTGTATACATCTGCTTACCTAGAATGTTGGTTTGAGCTAGGATTTTTACCTTTTTTTATTTCAACATCTGTGATTTTTATTGAATTTAGAGAAATCAAATCTAGTTATATAATTCCCTCCGAAACCTTTGTTCATTTGGGCATTCTGTTCAGAAACAAGTTTGTAATGGTATCAGTTCCTCAAGACAGGTTAAACAGGTTGCTACATATTATCCACCTATTTTTATGAATTCAGTGGGTTTGAACTAGACTTGTCCTTTAAAACAAAGTTACTGGGAGCCCTGAATTCAGCAGCATATTTTATGCCCTTGTGCAGGTGTATTTACATCTGTTATGTTAATAAATGTCGTAACCCTTTGAAAACTTTAGTAAATAATATGGAGCTTAGAGTCAAAGGAGGAGTAATTTTGGTAGTTCATTTTCAAAATGTTTAGTTATTTTCAGTGCCAATGAAAGGTAGACCTTGAAAACGAGAGCATATGAAGTCTTATACTGATTTTTTGAAATGCTGTTAATGTTTCTCTCTATGTAGGAAATATTATTCAGTGGATCTTAAGATTTTGTTTTATGTAGATGTCTGGTGATAAAGGAATATCAGCTTTCCCTGATGGAGACAACTTGTTCAGGTGGATTGGAACTATTGTTGGAGCAGATGGAACTGTAAGTACAATATTTCCAGTGCTTTATAGTAATTACGATTTATAACCATACAAAAATTGTAATTTTTAACTACTGTTTTACTCACTTCCTTGTAACTGACAAAACTGTATCTCCAGATAACTCACAATTTATATTATACATTTGACCATAGCTTAAATTTGATAATAATTTATTCAAATATTACTATAGGGTTTGGACAATAGAATTAGTCTGTTAGACCACCCGTGGCTTTCAGTACAGCTGAAATATGGTAAGTAATGCAGTCAACAAGCCTCTCAAAGGCATTCTGTAGAATGAGGTTCCACTTGGACATACTGATTTTTCATGATTGTTGAAGGTTGTTTGCTGTTGGTACCTACTGCTGAGTTGCCCTTCCATATACTCCACAGTGACTCAATCTGATTTAATTCAGATGACTGTAGAAGCTGAAGCAAAAAACTAAATTTGCTATTGAGCCCATCAAAACCACTTATTCTGTAACAATTCTGCTTCTATGGATGTCACATTATTATCTTCTATTGGAATGGTAATGGAGGATATGGCTGACTTTTGAAATTTTGCAGTTGCACAGTTATTAAATATAACATTTTATGTTGTATTATTTCTAACTAATATAAAGAGAATATTACAATTTACTAAATGCTATGGGCATGAAGATGTTGAGATAATCAGTTTTAATACTTTGTTGTCATATTCATTATTTGCCAGTATGGGAGCTCTGTTTGACTAGGTAAGAGAATTATTTAACTTATTTCTAACTTGTTTAGAAAGCCAGATGATTTATATTAGTTTAAGACACTATTTTATATGTATGACAATATTTTATATTCTATGTTGCATATTTGAATTAAGAAAAAAAATTCTGAGACTACACCCATTACTGAATATTAGACGTAAAATTTGATATGGACTCCTATAGTGCAAAAGCTTGGAAAAAATGTTTCAGACGTAAGTACTAAATCACTTTTCCCTCAGACTAATTCAGTAAAGTCTTCATAGATTGACCGACATATGCTTGAGAAAAATCTAATTTTTCGTATATTACAGATTTGTAATTTTTACTAAAAGCATGCCAAATTTTGTGAGGATATACCTAGTAAATTCAGGGTTGTAATATGTACACTTCTGATACAAAACATATCTTCCACCCATGTCTAGCTTTTTCGTGATTCAGTGCTGCCCTCTATAGGCAAACTGTTTTGCTCACTGCTACTTCCCAATCTTCCACCTAATCTCACCTGTTTCCACGTGATCGTGCTGCATTGTTGCATGCAAGTGAACATGCAACAACCCTCCTTCAGTAGAAGTGTGACATTGTCTCCTAGTGCAGCTGGCTCCTTCTATATTGATTGTTTAATCATCACTTCTCAATTTAGTACTTGTATGATAAGATGTGTCTTTTTTGTGTGAAATTTCTCAACATCAACGTTTTGTTGGAGTATCTATGAAATTACTGTTGTGGAAAAATGTTTTTCTTTTCAAACAGCTATGCCTCTGCAGACTTTGTGGTTTTTCTTTTCTACATCATGAATTACACAGATATAGTAATTTTCACACTGTCTAGTGTTGAACATCTGTACTTTGTTCACTCTTGACAGAATTGGCATTGTGTGCTTTTTTGTCTGTCAGGGGACATAGTAGCTATTGTGCAGTCTTGTATGCAGCCTAGGCCTCTCTTGGACCTTCTTCAGAAAATTATTTTCCTCCTTCCCTGATATCCAAGTCTATGCTGAAAAATTGTTTGTCTAAATTTCACTCTGGTGCCAGTATGAATCATCCTTCTTGACTGGTTTCACATGCCTTGGCTTTCAATTGAGCTGAAACCATTTTCTTGGACTCCCAAACTTTGGAGTCTCTTCAGGCTTGAAATTCTGATCCATTGTCCTCTGTTAGTCTTTCTCAAGCTGAGATTACTTGCCTTCACTTTAACCTCACTACTCTTTTATATTATCTGTCCACCATCCATCTCCTTTTGGAAGCAGTCTACAGTTTCCCTTGAGGGATTTTTGGTAGACACTCATTCCCTTCCTTTTTCTATTTTGACATTTTCTTCTTCTATGGCCTTGTCCCTTCTCACTTGATTAATCTGTTGCTGGATTTGTTGTGGAAGGATACCTTTTTTACCCAAATACATTTACCTCCCTGTTATCTTGGGAACCTTCATCTGGCTATTTACCTCTGTCAATAGGTTTTTGTGAGGTACTTAATTTCTTTTAATCACGGGCTAAGGCCATTTGCCAACATTTTTTCTCAACTACCATTGTGTCTTATCTTTCCAAAACTCCTCCTCTTCCTGTTGTCATCTTCCATCCTCCTGACTCCTTTCCACTCCCTGTTTCTCTATTCTTCTACTAAATATGGGTATCAGAAGTGGGAGTCTCATCAGTTACTGTCTTCTGGGCTCAGGAATAGTGAAGGCCTGTTTGACTCGACTTGTGGATCTATGGATTCCTTTGGTGTCCAACTCTTGTGGGCTACAAGTTCTATCCTTTGGCTTTACTCTTCATTTTTCCTCTCCTCCCCTCTCTGTCTCCTGTTCCTATTCTTTTCCCTCCTACAGAGGATCCTGTCTCCCACCAGCATCTCTCCAAACAGTGCTAGACCTTTTAGGTAAGGATGCTATCAAAAAAGTTTCTTGTCCTTCTCCGAAATGTTATTCCTGTCTGTTTATCATTTTTAAGTGTCCCAGGGATTGGCTTCCAGTAATTATTTTGTCCAATTTCTGTCAGTTTCTTGCCCTTCCTTGGTTTACTGTGATAAGTTTTCTCACCCTCTGATGATTTTTTTCTTCAGGGCTATGAATGACAAAGGTCAACATCTCTGATGTTTATCTTCACATTCCCATTTCCCAGTATACAGACTTTATCTTCAATCTATACATCAGAGTGTAGTTAATCAGTTCCATGCTCTTCCTTTTGGCCTGCCATCAACCCTATAAATTTTTGTTGTTGTTTTATGTGTGCTTTTGATCATCACCTTCATTTCTTGTTTAGGAAGTGGCTTTCTAGGTTGACTAGTCAAGCTGGAGAAGTCTAATCTCACACCCACACAGTATCTGGTTCATTTGGACGTATTTTTCACTTCCTGTCTCATTAGGGCACAGCTTTCTCTGGTGTGTTTGTGGGCCATGGAGGATTTGGTTTCCACAATTTTATCATCTCATTCTCTTCCTGCACAAGAGGTTCTTTATTGGTTGGGGATTTGGGCTTCTTTGAAACCCCTTATCCCTTTGTGTCATGCCCACATGCATCATTTATTGTGGACTACATGATCAATTTTACCTCTCAGGATCCCTTTACTGGAGTGGTTCCGATGGCTTTACACTCACTTGGGCACTCCCCACATCAATGTCTTTGCCACTTACAATAATGCCAAACTTCCCTATTTGGATTTCCTGTGTTCCACTAATGTTGGCACTTATGATGGATGCATTCAGTCAGAAAAGAATCTGATCTCTTCCTTTGTACTTCATCTCCTCTCTCATGTTATTTTCCTCATTCAGGACAGTTTGTTGGGTCCTTCTAGTGATGTCCTATTGGCTGGGCTAATCATGGTTTCCTTTGCTGAGTCTTCTGACTTCCTTCCTTCTTCTTCAGCCTTGTACTTCTTTCTTCCATCCACCTGTGTTGTCACTGGCTTCACTCAGAGATTTGTCTGGTTCCTTGCAGAAAGATCAGGACTCTTTTCACGTGTAACCTTCTTCCTGTCCCATTCTGATTGCCCATCCTCGGTGGAAATGGTGTATTTATTGCCACTGGTCCCATCTATCCTCATCTATCTGTGTTTTCACAAAACTTTTAGACTGGAGCTGATCTTTCTCAACTATTGCTAGTTACCAGGCAACTCTCTCAACTATTTTCTGGTTTTCCCATTACGCCAAGTTTTTTCCTCCCTAGCCCTTGACTGGGTCTTTAATATTGTTCTTAAACCCTTATCCTTCCTCCCTTTGAACCTTTGGCTTCCTGTTTTTTATACCATATGTTCCTTAAACCATATTTCCTCTTTTCACCTGTGGTTGTTGTCATTCTGATGTATATGCCATAGATTCTTCTTGCACTGTTTTCCATCACTTCTCTATCCAGATCATGTTTTCCTCTAAAATGTCCGAGGCACATTGGGTGATAGCATGTTCACCCCTATATCTCTTCATTTTATTCTCATCTGGATCCCAATTGCCTCTTCTGTCCTGTTCATGTGGTCTGGTTTTATTTGGCCCATACTTCTTTCTTCTGTTGAATTCTTTATCTACTCATGATCTTTCTCCTGTTTACTCTCACTGGATGGGCCCAACTGCTTATCCATTTAGCTATTTTTTTGTTAGATGGAAAAGCATGTTGGTATTTCCAGGTGTCCTTCCATAAAATTCATCACCTAAGTCATTCATTGGCTGCTCACTTGTATTGCCCATTGGAGAAGATTACTTGGGCTTGCATGTAGACAACACTTAATGCCTTTGTTGCACTCTATCTGCATCATCTGGCTGTTTCTTCCTTGTTAGGCTATGGGCTGCCTCTTGGCACTATTCTTCACACAATATATTGTCTCTCCCTCTATTTACAGAGCCCTCTAATCCCTTACAGGATCTCACTCAGTGGCAAGTGTTGCCTGCCAGGGTATACTTAACCGAAATTTGCATAGTGTGGGCTGTTCTGGCCTGTTAAAGCACTCACCGATGAGATGGGGTGTTCCACAAAAATGTTTGAGGTATCTTTGTAGGCTTATTTTCCTAAACAAGGTGTGATCCTGACCGTACCCACTCATGGACTAGCATGAGTAAAGCTGGCAAAGAACCTCTGCCCACTCTCCATGCCTAATTTAAAACTTAGTGTTTGGCCTGCTTTTAAAAGTAAAGTTCTCACAGTTGCCCATTGCACTGCTTTGCATTAATGCGCTCTTCCAACCTTGCTTTCTTCTTCCCTTTTTCTCCTTTAATGGAACATGAGAGTCCTTGCCATTCACCAGAGTCTGGCTTTTGGGGTAGAAGACCATGGAGGATGCCTCCTGAGTGTGACCAATTCCACTCAGTAGAGTAGGGTGGTGGGGTTCTGTCCATGTAATAGTCTACCCCTCTGACCAGCTTTGTCTCTTATCTTACTACTACTTGGAATTCATGTTCCCAGGTATCCTGGTATTGGATTGCCATGGGACCAGCCAACACAAGTCCTCACTCAGTTGTTGGATGAATGTTACTTTCCTCTTTCTACTGTAACCTGAAACCAAATTCCTGGTGCCACCTTGTTTAGGACAGGTTTTGGACCATGCTTTTATCATCCACCCTTCTTTAAGACACTTGCTTTCCAGGTGATGAATGTACCCTGGTACAGACGAGATGCAGTCTCCCACAAGTGTACCCCTATTATGTTCCAATATATAGGGTGTCCATGGGTTCTCTTCAGGCACTTCCTGAAGGGGGTTCATTTAGGTAAAATTTTGCAATGGGCCCTCCTCCATTTCAATGTGAGATTCTAACTAGATGTGAGCGAAGGTTATGTATAGTAGTGGAAGTTAACATTTTCCAACACTGAAAATAATTTCTGATAGATACCTCTGCTACACTTCCCACCCTTCCTCCCCACTTTAAGTGCATCTTACTTTCTTGCTTAATCTCTAAGTGATGATTGAATAATAAATATAGTGGGAACCAGCTATGCTATGAGGTAGTGTCACACTCCTGTTGGTGAAAGATGTCTCATGCTCATTTGCATACAACAATGCAACAATATCATGTAGAAACATGAAATTAGGTGGGAGCCTCAAGGTTAGTGGCAGAGTGAAAAAATTTACAAGTTTGCATATAGAGGGCAGCACTGAAGCAGGAAAGGCTGATGTGAAAGGAGGTAACTGTCTATGGGAAATATATTTTCAGCATTAGAAAATGTTAACTTTCATGGTTACATGATTACAAGGTGAGTCAAAATGACCAAACCTGTATAGAGAAGATTAACACATCTATTGTTTCATCATATATTCCTTCTTAAAGCAGTCCTGATTGTCTAGAATTGGGAAAAGCCTTATTCACAATATGCTATGTGTATGGATTAAGCACTTTCAATGTACCAACTTAACTGGAAAGGCATACAAACATGTCTCTCAAGCTGCAGGTGGTACATAGTTTCTCTACCATACCACAACTATCAATACCTCCTAATCTGCTCACTCCTACAGCCATATACTTCTTGAAATTGCTCTATTCTCTTAGAGCTTCATCAATGGAAAGGCCAAAATTTTGGCCAGTTTGCCTACACTTTCATCACAATGGATAGGCTGGCCAGTAATTTGGCATTCTTATCTGTTTCCATTTGAATATCATCATCTAGTAAAGATCCAACTGGCTATTATGTCTTCTCTGTTTAATATCACCCCACAAAATGTCATTCTCTTGAAATCTACAATCTGAATATTCAATCAAATTTGTTAGAAATGTATCCTGAATTGTATTCTTAAATCTATCCTTTTCCACTGATTCTTCTTTTACCCCTTTAATACATTTCATATGTTTCATGTGACTTTTCTTCTCAGTTAGTAGTTTTATTAGTACAGTATTCCATAATGATCCTTTTGTGTTGTCATAGTGTGTGTGTAGTCTGAACACTTACTAATGACATTAAACTTTGAAAATAGCTTGAGTGAACAACTAAATACCATTGGATAGAGCATATTATAAACTATGTACATCAGTGTAGAGTAAATACAGTGATCTGTAGTTTATCCAAGTATTGACTACCTGGAGCTTCTGTAGGGGTGAACAAAGTAATCTAATATCAAGGTTAGAAGACTGGGAACAAACCAGAAGTAGCTTCTCTAAACATTCTTTTCATTTGTGAAAACATTTTTGTGTTAAATTATATCTATTTGAAGGTTACAGAAATTTTATTCAATGACAAAACATCAGGCACTCAAAGTTAGGTTTAACAAATAAAGTAAGTGATGTCAAAATATTCTGATGACTTAAACCTTATTTATTAAATATTATTGTTAAATTTATCATATCAGAACAATACAGTAATTAGAAATTATTATTTATTGAAAGGAAACTATTTTATTAGATATATATTGATCTCAACCATGAATATTCTTTTCACAAATTGTGGTACCTAGCCTGACAAAGGTAATGGTGACATAATTTTGGAAGATAAGGCCCTAGGTCACAGATAAATCCTCGTCAATTTTTGCCATATTTGTTATGTGGCAAAGTATCAAAAGAAATATGTTAATGAATATCAACCAAGTTCAACTTGAATAAAAATGTAAGATCAACAATAAAAAAAAGAGAAATTTAGATTCTAAGATGAAAGAAAGTATTTTCAGTGTTTTTCACAAGTGTTTCACCTCATTAAAATCATTGAAAATGTTATTAAAATTATATGACTTTTTTTAAGGCAGAAACTAGATATTGTTTAGTAAGTTTTTTCTAAGTTTTACGCAATTTATTTTACTATTTCTGTTGTGAGAATGGGAAAAAAATCAGGGGATATTTGTGATAATCCTTCAGTCCAGAAAGGGTTAAGCCTTTCCATTATATTGTCAGTGTGGGAAATTTCAGAATGAACAGTCATACTGAATTTTGTATTTTTCTTTACAGTTGTTATTGTGTATATAAAATTAGATTTTTTCAGATGAAATTTAATAAATGTTATGGAACATTATAGCTCCAATTTACTGCAGTGAACTTGCCATATGCTGTTTAACTTTTTGATATTACAATAGCTGTTTTTACATCTCCTTATATAATGTTTTTCTGTATGTTGCCAGACACATAAAACTCAAATTCTCTTGTGTAGTAATCTTATTCCATTTTATAGATTTGTACACTGTAGTAAGTACATGCATAACAAAATTGTTACTTTATTGATATAAATATACAAGGCTGGATTTCAAGAATGATGAGTTCCAGAACAGGACCTCCACACCCACCCAATTTCTAGATTGGGGTTAGTTCTCATATTATAACCTTTGAATACCATCTTGTGCCACTGCACAACATAGTTAATTTTGAAGATAAATATCCCACCTTTAGCTAGTGTGATTATGGTATAGGTGAATTTTAGATTTCAAATTCTGAAATAGCAATGTATTTTATCCTGGACTGTGTTTCATTTTAGCAGCCCAGGGCCCTGGACAGATGTCTTGCTTGCCCTGCTTTAAATCCGACCATGTAAATATATGAATTTGAGCTATAACTGCATGTTGTGCACTGGGATAATTCATAATAGAGGAAACCTTGACAGTTCTCCTTAGCAGACAACTTGGGTTCTCAAATATCTGAGTGTTTTTAAACTATACCTAAATGATTTCTCCAGTTTTTTTTTTTTTTTTGTTTTTTTTTGTGAAGCTTTCCTTTACAAGCTCAAATTTTAATATTTATTTAACTGTTTTTATTTATTTTTCTTAAGTAAGAGAAGTTACAAAAAGTTAAGTGAAACCAATATAATAATGTCAAATTGTTTATACTTAGGTTATATACATGTACAGTCTCTTGCATCAGAATTCAAGATTTTTTTTTTTAGGAAGTGCTCATATTGAAATATAACTCAAACTATTAGTATTTTGATGCATTAATTGAAGAATGTAATTTTGGAAGTTGTAAAATCTAAGAAGTCATTTGTTACAAGTAGTTATTTAGAATATATTAACTGAATGGTATAATGAAATAATTTTTACAAGATGAGCACTTTTATCTTTATACTTTGTTCAACACTCAAAAATTTAATTGAATATACATGTTTTATTCTTAATTTACAGGTATATGAAGGGTTAATATATAAACTTGTTCTGGAGTTCCCCAGCAGTTACCCATACACTGCTCCCATTATTAGGTTTGACACTCCTTGTTTTCATCCCAATGTTGATACACAGGGCAACATTTGTCTTGATATTTTAAAGGAGAAGTGGACAGCACTGTATGATGTTAGGACAGTACTGCTGTCTCTTCAGTCACTTCTTGGAGGTTAGTAGGTCTCAAACAAAAAAAAAAAAGAAAAATTTAACTTTTCTGATTTTCTGAAAGGTAGTGTTACTTTCTTTTCAGTTTTTACTTCTAGGTTTTTACATTATAGATAAAGAATAATTTCATCCTTTAGATGTCTAATACCAGTATATTTCTGGGTACATTTACACTATTGCTGTTTGTTTATTCATTTTGTTATTTATTTTTTCTGTCTGAGCTTGAATGTTTATCAATTATAGAAAAAGAAATATCACCCCTTAGTGACCATCAAAACCATTGTTACACAGTAGTTTTTAAACCTCCTTTCTAGATTAAGAGCTTTACAGATATGCAGTATTACAATTCAATATAAACTTAATATAAATATTGAGTCTAAGTACACTTCTTGTGCTCTTATATAGGGTTATTGTGTAACTACAAACCTATGGGAACAAGATTTTAAGTACTCTGTGATGTAAATCATTTGCTGAAGATCACTTTCAGAATGCACTTAATACTGTGTTTTGCTATGAAAGAAAACTTAAATTCCAAAAAAGTGTTTTAGTACAGTTTTTAATTAGTCTTTTATTTAAACTTTGATTTAGTAAAATTAACAAACTCACTTTTGCAAGCTTGCTTCAACAGTTTATTTTTCTGTAAGGAAAGATGTTATAAGTTGACAACTTAGGTTTTATGCTTATGAAATTTGTAACCGTAAAACATTTAATGTAATTTTATTCTGTAATTCAATAGAAACATTGCAATATGTTGTATATAATTTTCATATTTATTTTGTTTTGTCAATAGAACCAAATATTGATAGTCCTTTGAATACACATGCAGCAGAACTTTGGGAAAACCCAACTCAATACAAGAAAGTGCTTTTGGAAAAATATGATAAAGAAGTGAGAAAAAAAGGTCAATTTTGATTTTATTTTAACATTTATGTAATAATCCTGGAATTTTGCTAATAAAAAGAAATTCTTCATGTTACTGTAGTTGATTTAGTTCTGAGGTATTTGTATTGTTCCACATCTTTCCAGTTTAATATGTAGTACTTTAATTGTATAATATATTTAATTATTCTTATGCTCTGTATAAGGTCATATTTCTCATGAGATTGAAATACAAAAATAAAATTTCACAACTTCATTTATTTAACACATACCTCCTTGTATTATCACCTCAATAACTGTATCCAGTATGTATTATGGTCAGTCTCTCAGTAATGTATTGGTTGAATGTTAAAGGGGATATTTTGATCCTTATGTTTATAAAGTATTTCTAGTGCCTTTTTTTTTTTCAAACATCATCACCAGTATATAAGCAATATGTTTTATTTCCCGTATGAATTAATTACATCGCTACTTTAAAAATATTTTTATGTGGACTTATGATCGCTTAGAAGTGTTTGCATTGGACATGCTTGATGTGATTTAAATTTCTTTCTTTCAGTACAGATTTAATATTTTTTTATGTGTAGAATATTTTTAATAAGTATTGATTGTATTTTTTTCAGATGAATATTTATAAAAATTAATTTTCTAATGTTGTCTCTCATTTCTATTAACATTTGACCAATTTTTGTTAAAATTGATTCTTTGCAATTTTAGAAAGTTATGGATTTCATATGTAGGCATTAGAACACATTCTATACACATCTGACAAAAAAAATATAAGCCTTTGTGTAAAACATCTTTCTGTAATTATCACTTTATTTCTTCCATTATTCTTAAGTTCTACGGAAAGCTTAACATATTATTCATTTGTTTATCTTCAGAATGATTACAACTTTTGGTATTGTTTCTGTAATAAAATTTTAACAATAAGTAAGAAGTTTTAATAGCATGTTTAGTTAAGTTTTGAATATTAAAAACAAGCAGTGTAACTTACCTCCATTGTGTAAATATTATTTCATTTGAACTTTAATAAGTATTAAAGTGGTAAATTGTGCCATATAATTTTTGGCAAAAGCATTAAAGTCATCATTTGCAACCTGTTTGATTAACAATGTGTATTTGTGTATGTTATTATTACTCTTATGAATTGATCATTTGTACTGTTTTCTGTATACTTTTTTTTACTTAATAAAATTCATTGCTGATTAATGGAAAAGTTTGAGTGTGTGTATATTCTTAATTTTTAAAATTTAAAACAGTTTACTACTTTCATTATTAAATGCTCCACAGTGGCATAGCAGTATGTCTGCGGACTTACAATGCTAGAATCTGGGTTTCGATACATGTGGTGGGCAGACCACAGATAGCCCATTGTGTAGCTTTGTGCTTAATTACAAACAAACAAACATTATTAAACAAGCAAGGACTTTATTGTAAGAAAATTAACTTACAGTTGAAATATTAATTTTAAGAACATAGATAAATTTCATAAAGTGTGTAAGCAGATTTGTTTATTGGTTGTTACTTTTTATAATTATACTTTCTACTGTTTAAAGTGTGGACTTTTGGTTCAAAGTACAAAAATATATATGTATTTAATGTAAGCAGATGTAAATTTTGAAATTCAGTCATATTCAAACAATACTAGCTAAATATAAATAAGTTCATAATTTTTTCTATAGCTCAAGAAAACGTTATCTCTAATTGCTTTATTACAAACATATAAAACTATCTATACATAATCACTGATACATCATAGATGCAGCTTTACATGAGAGACATTATAATATGTGTTTAGAAGGAATCCCATGAGTAGAAGCAGATTTTAGCATTGGGGTCAGATCCTTCAAGGACTGATCCACAAAGATAAAATTTATTTTTTATTTATGCAACTTAATTTCATAAATGAAAAAAACAAGTAAGTGACTGATCTCTGTCTAGGATATATTTTGAAATAGCCAGCATATCTAAATGAAAATTTTCATCCATTCATTGAACCCTTTTATTATTTGGTATTAGATACCAGCAGTGAAGCATCCTTGGGACAAGATTTGGTACCTAATGTACATGTAGGGTTTATTATAAAGTACTGATTCTGATTTTCTGATCTGTGCACATACCAATTTAAGTGGTTATAATGTGTACAATAAAAAGTAATTTCAGAAAACTTGTGACTTCATTATGTCTGGTAGGCATATAATTAGAACTATGAAAATAAGATCATAGGCAGCAAAAACTGGATTAAAAATACATACTGAAAATAATTCTACACAAGTTATGCTTACAATAATAATTTGAAATTAGTAGCAATATATAATTGAAAAGAAGTTAAAGGCCCAATGTTAAACTTATCTGCCCCCAAAAGACATAGTGGTTCCCACACATACAATTAAAAACATTCTGTTGCTTTTAACTCAATCAAGAGTTTATAAACTACTCATACCAAGTTTTATTTTGCATAAAGACTTATCTTAAGTATGGATGTATTGTACCTATTGTAATAGGTAATTGTATAATGACAGTTAAATAGGGCCAAAGATTATTAGACTACATAAGAATATATCTCATGTATTAACATCTATCAGTGCTTTTGCAGAACCTATGCATAAAACACATTATTTTCTGTCTGGATATTAAGTTGTTTTGACACAGGTTTCAATGCAAGGTAAATATTGGTGTTGATATGTGACACTTTCTTGGGTTCTCTGAATAATGCACAAGAAGATGTAACTGATGGTAGTGAAGTTGCCCTTATTACTCCAACTGTACTGCATTTACAAACAAATATGGACCACCTGAAACTGCTATTCGAAAATTGTGCAGATAAACTTGATACAGATCATCAAATGATTGCTCTCAGAGTTTTCCAGTGTGTTTCTAGAACCAGATAGCCACTTGAGTAAAAGAAACTTAACCTGTCACCGTGTAAACACTTGTCCTATAAAGCAACCAACATTGCCTTTCTAGGAATATAGCCAATCTTGAATAAAATTGGTGCATTTTCACTTTCTAAGTCAGACAGATGTCTAAATGTTTTAAAGAACATCTACTTTTTTAGCACCAATTAGGCTACAATAGCAAGAATAAGACTGCTTTCAGCTACTTATGAATGGTTGATGTAGCTTGCATTATGTGGTCAGCAATGGGAGAAATGTTTCTTGTATGTGTTTGACTGTATGTTTTGGAATGCTGTGAAACAATTTAGGCTGGTATTTCAGCAGATAAGAATACTGACATAAACTAAACCAGGAAAGCATGTGTTTATGCATAAGGATTCAGGTTTTCTCAGATATGGTAGATATGATGTCTACTGAGACTGGCTTTTACATACATTTCAAAAAGAAGTCTGGATTTGTATAATGCTAAATGCTTAGTGACCAATCTTTTGTAGATATCTTTGCCACTTTCACCATCAAATAAAGCTTAGTCACATTTTGTATCAACTGCAGACTGTGGAAATGTATTTCACTTGCTATAAATCACTTAATGGGTCTGCGATACCTTGTCCAAGAGGTTTCGTTAGTGTTGGATACATATGCTAGTGATATAAGTATGCTGTCATGGGATCAAGGAAGGCATAGATTATTTGATTGTGTGTGCTAGTTGTATGTTTAGCATGGCAGAATGCCCTTACTCAAGTGGTATTTGGTGAGGGATAATATGATGTGAAAAGATGATAATTATTAAGATTATGAAGGGCAACATTTTCAATTCAATTATTCTTGTATCACATTGCATGATGAAAAATGATGATGATGATAATTTAACAGTTAGAAAAATAATATTCATTGCCCAAACACCAAACATTAAGCACTAGAAAGGATAAATATTAGATTATCAGTGTGAAGGTTAAATTTAGGTGCATGAAAAAAACAGTGGGGAAAGGTAACCTAAGTTGCAACTTGCTCCATTTAGTAAAGCTCCAAAACATACCTATTAAGGTGACAGTGAGTTTTGACTGTTTGGAGTCTTTTAGCAAATTATTTGTTATGCCCTTGCTGATGCTTTCAGAGTCCAAATCAGTTTGGAATGAAGCTTTTTCACTCTAGTTTTGATGGCGGATCCCTGTGCTTCATCTGCTATTCTTATTAAGGATAACACATGCCTCAGATCTGGCAGTACTGCTTCAATGTGAGTAGTTGTTGAATAATGGGTCAGGATAGTCTGGAACTCGACCTTTGCTGCTTGCTAAGACATGAATGAAAGTGCTTGGCCAGTGGAGGGATTGCTGTTGACAAAGTAGATGCCTTGACATTAAATTTAGCAGATGATGATGATCTAGCTAACTGTAAGGGGTAATGATAACATCATTTACACTAGAGTTATGATGTTTTTGGATTATTTAAAATAAAGAAGAAACAAATTGGCGTTTCAATACCCCTACGACCTTCGCAATATCTTACTTAGCATTCTATAAAAGATTTGGGTGCAATATGATAAACGGTTTATGTTGAAGGCTGGCAAGAGAATAATAATAAAAATTACTAACGGACTATTTTGAGCAGATTTTTCATTTTGTTGTAAGTTTAACATACGTGCTTTTTTGTATGTTTTTTTATATGTGTACAGCCTTAGCAGTCAATAGTAAAGGTTTTAAAGTGTTGTTTGAACCGAATCTTTACTGTTTAAGGTGTTGTTTTTTCCCGAACGTTCTATTAGAGTTTTGTGTAATTCTTTTAGATCCCTATTATGAACCACTGTCGTGGTTCGTGATGTTGTCTATCATATACATAGTGTTAGACTGCCTCTGTGTTGCATGCCATTACCAAGCCAAATTGTACTTTCCATGCCCTAAGTCGCTTTACAGTAACGTAATGTCGTCTATGAACTGTTAAATTCAACTCTTGGCATCACAAGATAAATAATAAACTGCAGAATTCAGCCGAAATGAGGTTTTGCTGAGAAAACACAAACAAATCTTGTTTACTTTGAATATTAATGACCTCTAGAAGTAGGCAGTTAATGCCCTGGTACCTAGATTAACTTTTACATAATACTAACTTCAGATCAAACCTAAACATCACTGTACAAGGTGAAAATAAAAAGAGGTGAGGAGTAGTGAAACGTAGAAACCAGCTCTGTAAAATGCAAGTAATTTGAAATAGCTGTAACAGTTGAAAGAAAGAATAAAGTAGTTGTATGAAATATATAGTATTATTTTGACATTCTCACCAGTATGTCCAAGGTAAGTGAGGCATCCGATATCATTCCAAGTCTGATAAATTCGGATACTGTACAGATATCGATAAGTTAAATAACATAATGTTACATTAATCATTTCAGGTGTCATGCTCAATGACAAGTCTGAATATATGAATATTAATACATGGCAAGTATTGTTAGTGTTGTTGTTTCAAGAAACCTCGAAAGAAGTTTGCGCATCAAGACGACTTTGATACTCTTTGTAACTTAAGTACAGTGGATAGGAAGTCATTAAAGAACATATACAAATCAATGAAAAAACAACAACCAGTAAACAAAACAATCTGTCAGAAGTCTGATATCAGAGAAACTAGTTTCGACACATTTGTGTGTCCTCTTCAGTCTTACGTTGTCTTCTGAGAATGCTTGAATGTGTCGAAACTAGTTTCTCTGATATAAGACTTCTGACACTTTGTTCCGTTTACTGTGTTTTTTCACTAATTGCTATACACGATATTGTGTTCTTTTATTATTACATGTAGGAACTTGAAATCAAAACATGGCATAACATTCTCCAGGTTCTGATACAACAAGAAATGGCGTACTCCCATTCGTTTGATTACTATGTCATTTTTTATGCCTAGTTTAATATCATAGTTGTAGTAGGTAATTACAAAGATTATGGGGTTCATGATGAATAACATTAGCCAGAAGCGTCCCTATATACTTAAAAGATTTGGGGCACGAAAATTTTCGGCATTTCAGCATGATATCGATAGTAGTTTTCTATTCTGCTCTGACTGTATTGTTGCCATCATTAGTGGTTGTTTAATAGCAACTCACAGTCTTCACTTTGATAGGCCAGCACTAGATTATTCACTAAAGCAAGCTAAAGGGATCTGAATGTTTGGTCATATTCCTTGTTCCATCAAAAGTGTAACTCCATTTTCATGAGAGCTGAAAATGGTGCAGTCTTCGAGAGGTTATCCACTAATCACTGATAATATGACACAAAACAAAGAAAACTGCAAAAATTCAAAATTTTCACAGATCAAGACCAATTTCTCTCTGCAA